AGGAAGGAAGGAAGGAAGGAAGGAAGGAAGGAAGGAAGGAAGGAAGGAAGGAAGACCATCCTCCCCTTCAGCAACTCTTCCCTCAAACCACCAAAGATGAGTTTCAGATTTCGAAAAGCGTCAGTGAGAAGCAACCTTTTTTTTTTCCTGTTTGGAGGAATCATGGAGAGGAAAAACTAGATAAAAGTTTTTTATCTTCTAAAACCATACTATAAAGAAATATTTTTTCTCCCTGTTTTGTTCATTTTTTTCTTGTTTAGGGGAAAGTTGAAGAATGAATATGGGAGAGGGGCAGGCAGGTGTTAGCAGGGTCTCCATGGATTCTCCATGGATTCATGGAGTCTCCACAGATTCATGACCAGAAGATGCTACTGCTTTGCTCTTCTGGGAGATGAGAGGGAAAGTGTAAATCCTTGATTAGATGCTTCCTAGCCACAAGCTCTTTCTCTCTTTTATATAACACCCGTACAAACACAATATTTCACAAATGGAAATCAATATATATTACCAACTTACAACACATGCGTTATTAATATTCTGTATATGCTGTATACATATTCAACTTACAATCATTTGTTCCATAGTTTCTCCCAACATGATAGAAGTTGTTTACTGTTTTCTTTATTAGAGTACATTTTTAAATCATATCCTACAAAAAAGAACATTTTTTCTCCTGTACTTTATTTAGTTGTTGTCACTTTACAGGTTACTTTTTCCATTACATTAATAGACCATACCCCATGCCAAGTTTTCTTGGTTGCTCCATCTAGATGTGCCCAGTATTTTGCTATATGAATCTAGTGGCCCTTAATAAAAATGATCTTCAAGGGCAGACCCATGGAGAAAACACTGCAATAGATTGCTCAGTGACAAAGGCATGAGTGACTGAATTGAGCCTCCTGTTCCAAGAGGGGTTGTAACTGACACATCTGCACATTAAGGAGCAACATTCAGCAGTAACTCAAGTTACAAGACAGTTCAGTGCAGACTAGTGCAGCCCCCTGTAGAATCAAATCTCCCCTCTGCACCCCATTCTGAACAACCTTCACCAACAAGGGAAGGTAGGAGACTCATCTATAGTTGTCCACCACGTCCAAGTTGAGTGATAACTTCTTGAGGATGGGACACACCACTGCCTCCTTCAAGCAAGATGATAGCAGCATCTATCATTGTCCTAAACCCAGTTCTCCGTCAACTCTCTGAACACTTTCACCAGCAACAAAGGGCAGGGAATCCACATTATAGATGGCAGAATCAAAGATGCAGAGGGACACATCTACTTCCCTAGGACTCAACGGACCAAACTCCAAATCACTGGGGAAGACAAACTCTTGGTCATCTTGTCCTGATTTGCCCAGCTTGCCTTTATCTCTGCTGTTCTGAGGAATGTTGTCATCTACATGCCTGACAATTTCTCAGAGGGGTCAAATAAATGGTATTCCTACCACCTCTTCCCTTGGGAGGATCTGGACCAGTCTGTGGATGCAATAAGATTGGAGAGCTATTGAGGTGTCACTGTTCTCATTGCCAGAGTGTAGACCTGAATATGGGCTTTTACTGTGTTTGGTCAAATTGGCCCTTGTCTTCTGCCAACAATGCTCTGGGCATCTCTTGATTTGCTTCATCTCCCATATTCCCACTAGATCAGTGAGCAGCAGATGCCCTAATGTGCAACTTAGGTCATCATCACCTCCCTATTTTAGCAAGCTATAATGGCTTCTATAGCTTTAGGAAACTTCCCAAATGCCCTCTAGAAAAGGAGCAACTCTGTTAGATGTCTGGGGCAGACCAGTCAATCCTCCCTGTGAAGTTTAATGACACTGGCTAACGTTCAGGTGATCAGAGAATGATCTGACCATGCCAAGGGATGGAAGTTAAGGCCCACATCTTCAGATCTTATTGCATTTGCCCTGAGACAAGAACCAGACCCAATGCGTGGCCTCCATTGTGAGGTGGACCCTGTGTCACCTGGGACAGGTCCATGGGGGTTGTAATGGCCATGAACTTCTGAACTACCACTGACCCCAGTCCCAGGGAAGACAGAATAAAGTGCCCCCCCCCATTAGGTTGGGAACATAACCTTCACCCCGCAGTGAGGTCAAGTAGGGAGACTTCTGCAGCAACGTAGGCAGTAGAACAGCAGCACCCCAAATTCTCCCTGGTGCCAAGCTACAAATACGGCTACATAGGTGATTCTCTGTCGAAAAGTGCCCCAAGATGGCATCAGAGTGTCTAGGTTACAATTGACAAACCACCTCCCCTACCACAGTCCTGCAGCTGTTGCCAAACTTGAAACCTGGCATATATTCAAGATGGGGAGACCCCATTCATCCTTCTAAATTCTAACGGGCCTTTCTCTTTTCTTTTTTCCAAGCAGGCGATGGGCAGGAGAATGAGAACAACAAACAGCCGAGGTTAGTGCCACTGCAAACAGCTAAGTGTGAAGTGGAAGAAGTGATGCTTGGCTATCAGGGGGATCTAAAAAAGCAAGAGAGAAGCCACACGGAAGATGGAGAGGAGAAGTCCTTCACTTCTCTCCCTGCTGAAATCCATCACTTCCTGACCCAGCAAGCTCAGAAAGAAAACACAAAGGGAAAATATACAGGATGTGGGCAAAGAGGGAAAAATAAGTTTAATTTACATGAATATTGTAGAAGCCAGGCTAAAAGGAAACAGTATGGCTGCAGACAATATGGAAAAAACGTCAATAATTTCTTCTCTCTTACTTTACCTAAAAAACTGTACAGGAAACACAAACCACATACATTTATAAAATTTGGGAGGGGTTTCAGCCTGAGCAGTTATGTTAATTCCTATGAAGAATTTCACACAGAGATGAAGCTATGTAAATGCATGAACTGTGGAAAGAGCTTCAGTACAAACAGTAATCTTATTCGCCATCAAATGATCCACACAGGTGAGAAACCATATAAATGCATGGACTGTGGAAAGAGATTCATTGAGAACAGAGACCTTACTCGTCATAAAAGGATCCACACAGGGGAGAAACCATATAAATGCATAGAGTGCGGAAAGGCCTTCAGAACAAATGGTCATCTGACTCGCCATCAAATGATCCACACAGGTGAAAAACCATATAAATGCATGGAGTGTGGAAAAAGCTATATTGAGAACAGAGATCTTACTTGTCATAAAAGGATCCACACGGGGGAGAAACCATATAAATGCATGGAGTGTGGAAAGAGCTTTCCTCGGAATAGTGCCCTGATTTGCCATCAAAAAATCCACACTGGAGAGAAACCATATAAATGCATGGAATGTGGGAAGAGCTTTATTAAGAAAGGACAACTTACTTCCCATCAAAGGATCCACACAGGTGAAAAACCATATAAATGCATGGAATGTGGAAAGAGCTTCAGTAGAAACAATAATCTTACATCTCATCAAAGGATCCACACAAGGGAGAAGCCATATGAATGCACCAAGTGTGGAAAGACCTTTATTTATAATAGTGGTCTTTCTCGCCATCAGAGGAGACACACAGGTGAGAAACCATATAAATGCACAGAGTGTGGGAGGACCTTTATTCAGAAAGGACAACTTACTTCCCATCAAAGGATCCATACCGGTGAGAAACCATATAAATGCATGGAGTGTGGAAAGACCTTCAGTAGCAAGAGCGCCATTACCTACCATCAAAGAATCCACACGGGTGAGAAACCGTATAAATGCACCGAGTGTGGGAAGACCTTCATTCAGAAAGGACAACTTATTTCCCATCAAAGGTTCCACACAGGGGAGAAACCATATAAATGCATGGAGTGTGGGAAGACCTTCGGTAGCAGCAGTGCCATTACCTACCATCAAAGAATCCATGTTGGTGAGGAAACATACATTCACACATGAGGAAAGATCTTCTGGTAGAGCAGTGGCCTTACTTGCCATAAAGTGACCCAGGTGTAGACATGGGTGAGAGGATGGGTGAGATGGCATAAGTGCGCTGTCCTCTCACTCAGCTTACACTTCCTGCATGCGTGCCCAGATAGGAGGAGGGGGTCCTTTAACAGGGGATTACCCCAGTGGAACTTAGTTACAGTCAGTGGCTAAAAGAAGGTTGAAACCAAATATGATGGTGGTGTAGCCCTGTTGGATGGAAGAGGAAGAACCACAGAGCTATAGAAAGGAGAGGTGAAGAGGAGGTGTGCAATTTTTTAATTTTCTTTTTTAAGTCATTCATCAGGGAGCAAAACTCTATGTAACACCAAGGTTTACTTTGAGGAGATCTGTATGGGTCTCCAGTATTTAATATAACTAAGGTAAATGAAACCCCAAAATGCATGTCCTTCCTCCAATCTGTGTTGCCCAATTTATTATGTTCCCAGTGATGTATAGATTTCTCAAATTCTGTGAATGAATTTGTTCCATGATTTCTTGAATGTGTCCTGGTGCATCCTCTTTATAGGGCAGTTGAAATTCAGAAGCAATGGTTAGGGATTCAAATTGGAAGAGAAAGGAGATTTTCCTGTCTTTTTTTGTCTCTTTGTCCAGGTCTGTCTTTTCAATTTCCCCTCCCTTCTTTTCCACATGGCTGTATTCCCATAATACGCTTATCTATCAGCAAAAGAACAGGCTTAGCCAACGTTAACTTAAAACCTTTTTTTTTTAATTGCATGGTTCCAAAACCACCTGAAGAAGAAAGTGACTACTTGGGCTGGATTTGCCCCACTAGCTGGGCTGAAATGTGGTTGCCTAGCTTGGGGGTCTGGTAAGAAGAAGCCTGACCTTGATTCGGACAGACTGTAACTTAATGTAGTTGCTTAGTAAGAGGCTGGGATGCAACCTAGGCTCCTTAGAAAATAAGGTGGCAGCATTTGGGGCTTTTTAGCTTAAAAGGCAAGTCTCTATGTTATTGAAACATCAGATGAATTCTCCCTGCCTGATAAAACAAGAATCCAAAGGAGGGACCTACAGTACTAAAATTCAATGTGGAAGATTCTGGATGGACAGACCCACCAATTGGGTTTCTGTAACACATCAGGTGAGTCTAAAATGGGAATGGGTAATTTCTGGCACCTGGCCAAACTTGTCTAGATAAGCAGGATCTGCCCTGTTAAAGATGGGATAGGAGACCACCAGGAGTTCCAAGACTTAAGTCCAGTAGTGCTGTCTGAGGAGGACAAAATGAAGCTGAAAGATGTAAGAGTCCATCTTTCGCGTTCTCTTCTTTTCCTCATGCGTTCCTCCCCTGAGTATAGCTACTTATTTTGTTGCCTTGTCTGTGACTATCTTCTTCTCCGCATTACACTGTACAGTTAAAAGCAGTTATTGTTTTGCTTTGCTCAATAAATTATTTCAGGTTTTACCCTATTTGTGTGTTTATTGCCTGAACCTCTTCCTCACACTTGGCTGGGGCAAAACAAGGCTAGACTGGGAAGTTAAAATATATCTGAACGCAACAGTACCAAATCACTTCCATGTAATTGCTGAGAACCTGGTCTTCTTTGAACCATCCTATATATACTTGTCGACCACTGAGTTTATTGTACAACAAGTGGCAGTTACACATTCCACAGCTTTCGGCTGCAATTATTTCACGCAAAGGGCATTCTGCTCAGCCTACCGCGTTTTGCCCTTCTAGGAAAGAGCACTCTCTGGCAGACCCGCTCGGAGGCCGGGAGGGCGCGGGAAGTTGTGGCGGGAGCGGT